GTTGCAAGGAAAGTTACTGGATTTGGGATCAACAGGTGGCAGCTTGTTACAATGTGATACATTTGCTTCCAGTGATCCTGTTTTTGAAAGGAAAAATAGTTCCTTTTCAGCCAAAGATACATGGGGAAAATTACATAAAGTTACATAAGTATTATGTAACCATTTTTCCCAGTCCCAGAAAAGTACCATATATATAAGCCCATCCGCAGATAAGCCGACCCTCAAATTTTTAACCAAAATACTGTGAAAAATGTGCCACCCACGGATAAGCCGACCCTCAGAATTTCCATATGTTTTAATTTTCACAATTGCCTTATCCATGTGTAATCCATGGATTATAGATTTTTCATGGTATTCTGGTTAAAAATTTGAGGGTCATCTTACCCATGGATGGGCTTATACGTGAGTAGATATGGGATATATGGGTACTTTAAAAAAGTATTACTGTATATTCTCACAGATAGGCCCATCCCTGGATAAGTAAAACCCAATTTACTCAGCTTATTTGTGAGTATATACAGTAGTATGAAATCCCCTTGGATATCTTTATTTCCTTAATTTTGTTTTCTCTGTGAATTGTTATTTTTTATTTGACGAACAGTTTTCTTTCTGAAAAGAGATAAATATGTCATTTATTTAATGTCTTTTGAAATATCCTTAATTTTCATTGGCTGTCCTTACCAGACTGAATTAGAGCAACTGCTTTATAAAAGGTTGCCTCTTTTATAAACATTGGCAGTGAAGAAACAATTTTGGACCAACAAGCAGAGGGTAATTCTTGGGAATGCAATTGTTTTATTTTACTGAAGGTTTTTGGGGGGAGGGAAAGAAAGACACCAAGTGTGCTAAAGAATGGATATCAAAGCAGAATGGGTGAAAATTTGAATCTCATATTACTGGGTTGTGTTGACTGCACATTCTTGCCACAAAGAGGGATCATGTCCTGCTGGTTTGTTTTGCTGCTCTAGAGAGCCCAGAAGTACGTAGAGAAAGTTCTACAAGCTGAGTGTCGGCCATCTTTTGCAAAGAACAAGATGAACAAGCTATTTATGAACAAGTACAGTATGGATGTGACTCCTTTTATCAATAAAGATATCAGTGCTCAACCATCTCTCTTCAAATATGACCCACCTTTTGGATTTCACAAATTTTCGGAGAAGCTTCAAAACTTACTACAACTCCTACCTGAATACAATTTACCAGAAGACCTGCAGTCGAAGCACTGTAAACGTTGTGTTGTTGTGGGAAATGGCAGAATACTACACGGGTTGAAGCTGGGTTCTGTCCTGAATAATTTCGATATTGTTATAAGGTATGTCTTGGATTTTTGTCTAAGGTCATAAATTAAATACAGTGCAAGAAAATAGACTAGGATCTCTGTTGAAAACTCCAGTGTCTATTAGAGTTGTCACCCCTGTGCTGAAAGCGTGTAAATTTTGTTGAATCTCTGTGGTGAGGAAGATTTCCAGTTAAGATAGTTAAACATTTATTTTCCTGTTGCCTGGGTCTTTAATTTTCTGTTTCACAGCAAATCTGAAATTGGTGGTTACCATGTATTCAGTTGCTCATTCAGTTGTGTGATACGTTGTATTTTGCAGGTTAAATAGTGCACCTGTTCAGGGATATACAGATGATGTCGGTAACAAAACAACAATAAGAATGACGTATCCTGAAGGAGCCCCCTTTTCTCAAGATGAATATTATCCAAATGGCTTGTTTGTGGCAGTTTTATTTAAAACTGCTGATTTTCATTGGATAGAAGCAATGGTGAAAAATGAAACACTAGTAAGTAACGATATTAAATACTGCATTTATATAAAATCAGCGATACCAGAACTGTATTGTTTGTGTGTTTACTGTAGTAAGTTTCCATTTTGAATTTTTTTCTATCTAGTCACTGTTAGGGCTGCCAGAATTGGTACTTGAGAATATGAAACTTCTCAAAACTTGCCAAATCTCAGAATGCTTATCCAGTTTCATGCCAGGCATTCTGCAGTTTGTCATTCTTGGAGAGAAACCCCTTTCATTTCTGAAAAGAAGAAAGAGAATCATTTGGGCACCCTGTAGTTCAGCTGTTGAGTCAGGTGTCGCTTTAAAAGAAGGAGATTCAATTGCTGCTCAGTTAAAAAATCAGAATTAGGTGATGAGCCAAGGGCCTTTCAGATGATAGGAGTGTTTTGTTCTGTGACTGTTACGCAAAGAAGCAGTAGCTTTATTTTAAATATGAGAATATTTCAATAATGTTAATTTAGATCAGTATGGACACCAGTCCATCCAAATAGTTCTGATTATTTCTAAATGGAAGAAAATGATTTATTCAAGTTCAGAGAAGGACTTTAGGTTTTCAGTTTTTAAAATAACATTCTTATAACTAAGTCTGGCGGCATCTTAAAGAGGAATAAAGCTTTCATGGGTGCGTGACAACATATATGGACATTTTTAGGTTATATTGTTCTGTAGAACACAAACATATATTTTTCTAAGAACTCAGGTTTATCTTGGTACCACCAAATGGCCATCTGGCACAGATACTTGGTTTTACTGGAAGTAATACGACCAATCATTTTTTATTTTTTTTTTGTCTGCCTTCAGTCATTGCTGACCCTGCAGTGACTGCTTGGACGAGTCCTTGCAGTTTTCAAGGCAAC